TGCTTTATTATCTGCATTATTCACTACTACTCACTAGTGTATCTGTTACTATATTTACCGTAATTTGCATTGCAACGTAATTTGCAATGCAACATTATTTTTTCCTATATTATTCTATATTGTGTCGATTCGTGCCTTTTATTCAGATAAAATTGATTCGATGTTCTTTCAGCATCGTACGACGTGATAGAAGCATATAGTTTTTTCCAATATTGTGCTATTGCATTGTCTGGAGTTTCAGTAGTTTCAACAGCGTTAAGATGTTACTAAGCTCGATGGTATCTCAAATCCAGTATTTCTTTTCAAGGCATATTTGCAGTTTTCTTTTTCTTTTCCTCGACGAGTGTTGGAAGGATCTCGATCTAGCTTATTAACTTTGAAAGAGTACGTTAATTGAATTACTTAAGGATAATGTGTTCGTCTCTAATTTCATTGCAGCAGCCGGTAAAATACGGAGATCACGTTCAATAAAAGCCGAATCAACGGTAAGATTTTTATCCCTGAAAATCTGCTTCAATGCACACCGTATTTTTTATTCTTCGTGCACGTGTCTTGCGTGAAACGCTGCCGCCTCTAACCACGTTCCTCGACGTGTTAGAATCAAGTCAATCGAATATACGTATACGAAATATGCAGATATATGCAAAAGAATATGCAACGTACAAAACATATGCGATATGCAAGATATGCGAAGAAGTTTATATTTTTGAAACAAAACTCCAACGATAAAAACAAATTTCTGTCCTCTTGGACGTCTTCGTTTGCGTCTTCTTTCTTGTTACTGTCAGCATCGGTCTGCTAGCACTATGGGAAAAAATAACAGGCACAGTTTTATTGTATAAGTTTGACAGTTGCAGAATATTTCTGGACGGCGCTCGGCCCGTCTTGCTTGTTCTTCATTATGAATTCGCTGTCATAACAGCGGCCGTCTAAATGTCAAATTTTTCTTAACGAGTTAAGAATAAAAGTAAACGCGAAAGTGAAACAACTATCCGGCGTAACTACGGAAATGGGACGCGGTACTAAACCGAGTCTCTTCGTCCAAGGAAACTTTCCAGATTGTCCTCTTCCCATTTCAACTCTCGAATTACGGTTGATACTTCGGCCGAACGACAAAACCGAGAAAACAAAATTGTTTTTAACACCTTCTGCGGAGGACAGTTCGCAACGGTACGCCGCGTCTGTAAGTGAAAATCGTCCGTTTTATCGCATTTATTTGATAATAGCAATATCTGTTACAGAAAATGATAACTCGGAGATTAAAAGTTACATTATATTATTAACTTATTTGAAACAAAAAACGAAATTTCTATTTAGTACTAGTTCGTTGCTTATTCTTCATGATATAATTAAGATATTACCAATTTTTGTTAATATGCATACATGTGAAATGCATAAAATAAATAATACCCAATAATAAAAAGATAATAATACCTAAAAATAAAATGATGATAAAAAGAATAATAAAAATAAATAATATCTAATTAAAAATTGAATTGTACTCTCGAAAGGTTACGTCTGTTAAAGAGGAACGAATTAATAAACAAACGTAATTCATAAAAGCAGCAAGCCGTTCTGACGCTGAAGAATACCGTTCCTATTCTTCATTCAGATTCACCGGCTTAATACTAGAAAATATTAAACGGGAATACTGTAACGAATGGCTGCCAGATGTCGACGAATTTCGAGCGTTCAGGAGGACCTTTTTGGGGTCGAGGAAGTTCGAGAATTTCCCGCGGAAACTTTGTTTCATTTAGCGATGTCTGACTTCCTCGGGAAAAATCATGACTCCGCACGCAAATCTTCTCACTCGACGTAAATCCGAGAAACCATCCTGGCGTGAGCCATCTTCCAGGGGTTAACAACCCTCCGAGGTTTAATTTTTAGTCGGTAATACAAAGCTGGATGTTACTTTAATCGTTTTTTTTTTCGTGTCAGATTATATAGCAGCATGCTGCTGATCGAGATCGAAATTTTTATTAAAAATTTATCGGAAAAATGAACGAAAGTGTACAGCTTTTACCGGATTATTCGAACCATATTCTTTCGCAGTTCGTACTACATTCGATACGAACGTTGCTCGATGAATGAAACGTACGTTATATATTTTCGTAGGAACTTTATTTTATTAAGGCTGCAGAAAAATCGGCGAATATCCTGAGTATACACCATTCAGAGAGTTTGATCATTGAGCTATCCGACCTCTTCAACCTAGAAGCAGTTCCAGTCCTGTTCTGTATTCCCTCTACATTATACTTCGCTATCTAGCAAGAGCTTCTCTTACGCAAACACCGTCTGCCTTACGTGGACTACGTTTATTGTACAGTGAGCTTGAAACGTACATTACCTTGTCAAATACACAAACCGAAGATAGAATCTTCTAACAGAATCGTCTAATTAAATACCTGGAGCCAGTGGTAGTAACAGCGGATAAACAAATTAATTCATCGCCTACTCTTAACCCTCGTTGTCTTTAACACGTTCCGTGCCGAGCTTTTTTTACTCGAATCTTCACACTTTGATATTTTACTAAAACTTGATGTATTACGTGCAATTATTAATTCTCGTACACATAACAACGTAACAAAAACTTATCAACGCCCATTCTTGCGGTGGAAATTGATTCTTCGGTTCTAAATTTCTTGTAAACAATTTGTTCAGTTCACTAAGTAAACATGCAAGCGTGTACCATCGATGGTACACGTGGCACGGAATGTGTTAAT